ATCAGAGATTTAAAAGAAAGGTGATAATGTCATTTTATCAGGACAGTGAGGTAGATTTTACAAGATTGAAAAGTTATGGTAGATTTGACAAATAATTTTAGAATAAGTAGTACATTGCGTAATTTTTTCTTTTACATATATACTATCTGCGCAGTTCTATTATTATTTTGTTCTATAAATATAGAGAAGAGGCAATAATTCTAAATAAATGAAAGGATCATTATATATTAACAAAATTGGGATCATAATACTCAACTATTCAAAACTAAAGAAGAAACTCTAGTAAGCAAATGATGATATGTACTTTTCAACTTCTTTACAGTGAAGAAAAGTAAACAAGTTATAGTTTTCCAAAAAAAAAATTGTTTTTGGGATTATATGTTGGGATCCATAATTATATAATCATGCAAAAACCCTAACACATAATCAGCGTGCGGATGCCTCTCTAGCTGAAACAAACGCTGAGTCAGATGCTCAATCATAATCGTGAATGTTTCTTGAATTCGGAACCCCTCCTTTGTTGATCGAAAGTTTTCATTGCCTCCGAATCTTTACCTAAACTCATGTAAACTTGCATGACAATGTTAAAGGACTTGGTGCAGCCTTCCTGATACACAAGTCGTATGAAATGAACACAAATTATATGAACATTTCATACAATTTGTGTATCATAAAGATGATCTACTGGGAAGTTATATTCAAATTAGATGCCCATGACGTACTCTTGATAAGATCCCAGTTCTAAGACAATGAAATATTGATCAAAACATTAAGAACACAAGTTATTTGATAGGTAGTTTATAGAGTACTACCTTTGTTTTGGTTTTTTTTTTTAATTGATTTATATAGAAGTAAAGTACATAGAACAAATAACAAGGAAATGGGAAAGTGGTAGTATAATAGAACAAATAACAAGGAAATGGGGAAGTGATAATATTCCTCCTATATATATAAAACACAAGGTAGTGAGAGAGTTCTAAAATCACTCTCAAACTAGCTCATATATATAGAAAAATCTCAATTTGATGCATATTGTATTTATCATGTTCCTTCTATATGTCTATATCCCTTGTTATCATAAACGATGTAATTTTCTTCAAAATCAATGAGATCAGACGTTAAAAAAAAATCACTTTCAAACTTACACCGAAGCTATTTTAATACATGTCTTTACCATAAATTTTGATAGTATTTTTCTTTTTTTCAAACTAATTTTTTGAGAAAGCAGTTTACCACATTTAAAAGAAACTAACTATCACCCATTTTCTTCCGTTCCCCATTTATCCTCATTTGTTAATTATTTCACTTCCTCAATCATAGCACACAGTTTTCAAACAAAGTAAAACAAAAACAATTGTTAAATCCTCTTGACTTGACTATTCCTTCAACTTTTTGTTTGTTTGTTTTAGATTCTTCGATGGCATAAAAAGAAGGTTTCAAACAAACGAAGGTATTATTGTGTCCACTTCTCAATATTTGTTTCTGTCATTTTTTTCTTCTACTATTCTCATATTGTGATGCTTACAAATTATTTACGATTGAACAAACATGTTCTATTAGTTAAAAAAAAAGGTTCTATTACTTTTCAAAAATACAAGATTATTAATTTTTAGCTTCTCAATCACAATGCTTATAATGTTAATGATGTGTAGTTGTTACTCTGATCTTTACCATTAGTTGCCATTATTCAATCTGATTTTTGGGTATCTACTGATATGAATGATTTTTTTTCTAGAAATTAACTTTTCTGCAGGAAACTTTTCCTGATAAGAGATATACAAAAGTGAAGAAACATGATCATTTCTATATGAAAGTAATGAATTTATTCTGCAATCTCAATCTCTATATATTTACTCAAATGTTTTTTTGGTAGATAATTCCAAAAAAAAAAAAGAAATCATGAGCATAGAAGATTTAAGGGAAAATTACACATAAAGGCACTTTTTTGGAAAGTGTTTACATCAATTGACACTTTTTTGCCAAAACACACTTTATGTATATTTTTGTGTAGTATTTTACATTTAACTCACCAAACTTGATTCTAATAACTATAATGCCATTATACTATTTTAAAGCTAAAAGAATAATTAAAATCAAAAATTATTCTATATCAGATTAAAACAAGATTTTCAATCTCTTGTCTCTCGACATAACACCCTCACCTTCATCATCCTTTACCTTCATCATCCACAATAAGAATCAATTGAATCTAAAAATAACAAACCCATAAATATCTGTATATCTCTATCTATCTTCTTCTTCGTTGCAATCCCTAAATTGTGTTCTTTACATCTGTCATTTACACCATTACAAGGAGAATGGGAATGATTCGAGAATTAAGACTCTAAAGTGAAGTCTAATTGGTACACAAACTGAAGCGTTTGCTCTTGGGTGCTTCGGTCTGATTCGGTGGTCTCTGTTTTAATGGATATTGAGAGGTAATTTTCAAGACGAAAACTCGTTACCTGATTTGTGTTTGGATTAGGTTTTTTTCATTTCTTATTCTGGTTTTGACTTCAATTGTGTTAGATGTGTGTTTTGATCTAGTTAAACTACCGAATCCGAGACGAAATGAAGAGAAATCTAATCAATTTCAAAGAGAAATGAAGGATATGTTGACTGCACACAAGGTACTCGCTGAAATGCCAAAGAAAGGCAAATTTCAGAATAGCTTTGGCTAATCTATGAGAAGTAAGGAGTTAGAGGATCACCTTACATTGCTGTTATTAACACCTTAAAGAAAGTAGACTTGATGATGCTCTCTAGAAAGAAACCCATCTCGATATGAATTGTATATGTTCCACAAGATTCCATAACCACATAAACAACACAGATGGTCAATGTTTCATGGTCACGTTTTTATTAGTTCGTAGCCACATAAACAACACAAAATGGTCAGTGTTTCATGGTCATGTATGGATAATCCATGGTTAGTAGTAATTTTGTGTTCAAATTGTAATTTTGTATCCTTGTACTTTTAGTATACAGATTGAACATATTGATCTAATATGTTCGTCGTCAGATTTTTGTGTACAAACTATCGTGGATAATGTTTCGTACAACTTATTCTCTAAAATAATATTGGTTGTTATTACAAGGACATTGAACCCAAACCATATCGTAATGGATAGGTTTATGTGGATAATTGGTAATGAATATTATATAAAAAAAATTCATAATGATATGTTCATACAAATGTTTCCACAGAGATATATAGTAACCAATAGATAAAAGACAAGCAAAAGTGTTTTCAAATTGAAGATATTGGCCAGAAAACTAATGAAAACACTAAGAAAGAAACTTGTTATATGATCATGAACATTATGATGTGGATTGCAACTTGGATCTATTGTCATGGATACGACCATCCCATTCTGTCCACCGATCTGTATCCACGAGAAGGATGGATATGATCCATCCAATTCTGTCCATCGATCTGTATCCACGACATCGTGACCACGACATAGTGTCCATAAAACATGAAATCTGAAATACACGAGATCGAACGATTCGATTCTCAAAGACGAGATCCAGCTAATTTCGGCTTGATTCGGAGACGATACGGCGGAGAAAGCCGAGATGATACGACAGAGAAGGTCGAGAATCTCTTCTTTTTTGGAATGATATCTTTTTAAAATCTGGGTTCAATGAAGTTGAGAAGAATTGATTTACAAAAAAGGAG